GTGGCTAGTTGTAACCTCCAATGTAAGGTGAGCCCTTGGTGGCATGCCGTGTTCTAATATACTTGAATAAAAACATCACCACTCCCAAGATAGGGACTTTAACTTAAAAAAAAAAAAAAAAAAAAAAAAAAAAATAAAAATTTTCTTGTGAAATTTTGATATAGGCTCGCACTAATCCCAAATGCACTCTACTCCCATCATAAGTAAGGATTTAATTTTTTGCTTTATAAAAGTTGGTTTGATTGGTTTACAAACTAATACCCATGTACATACGTACCATGTACAACTAAAAATTGTCTAAAAAAAAAAAAAATACTTGCCTTTTTATCTTTTATTAAAGTAATTCATTCTTTTTCTAAAAGAATTGTATTTTTTTCGTTTATTTTTCTTAAGATCAACACATTCTGCTCTTCTATTTTTTTTTGAGTTGACTCATATATTGTCGTAATTCTATCATTAACAGTACATATAGCAACAGTAGCATTAATGAGTATGTGTATGTAGTATAAATACAATATAAATACTGTCAAGGGAAAATGAAACCTCAGGCTTTTAATTATATTCTGTACGGATATAATCCTAATAAATTATAATGTGCCTAGTACAAAATATAATTAAAGACCCGAAGTTCCATTTTTCTTTGATAGCACTTATATAGTGAATGTTTAAAGCCAGGTTCATCATGAATTTAAATTAATGTTAAGGTTAGGTGGGTTTAGGTATAACAAAGTAGATTTAGGTTGTTCTTAAGCACCTCTCTATATGGTAAATAAAATGATCTAATTAGTTGAAGAAAGGGATTGTATTTAATCATTTTGATAAAAAAAACCTGAATCTACCAACTATTTTTTTTTTGATAGAGTTACTCTGATTGGCTAAAATTTAAATTTCACATTTTGTACAATGAATTTCCAGCAAAGTCATTATAAAGATCATTTTAATTAATTGAAATAATTGAGCAGCATCTCGATCACTAGCAAATTTCATTGAAAGAGCTGCTTGAGAACAACCTTAGACATTTGTTTTTTGTATTTTTTGCTTGAAAGACCTCATAATGAACTTGGCTTTAAGTGACCCCTTTATAAATATCTTGAACTTTTCTTTCAAAAATCCTAAAACATTCCAAAGCCTTGATATTATATATTAAAGATACAAGTTAGATTATATCAATTTATTTATTCAGATTATACAATAAACAGAATATAAAAAAAAATTTAATACAGGCTTGTGGAGATTTTCATTCTCCTGATCTGAGATTGTTGCCGCAGAAAGTACATCTGAGGATGTGTTTCCTCTTTCAGATCCAAGATTATCATATGGGTAATTCAAAGATATTAGCGTGGGCTTTTTGTAAAGTGCATCTGAGGATGCATTTCTTCTTTCAAATGCAAGATTATCACCAGGGTGATTCGAGGAAGTTGCAATAGGTTTCTTGTAAAGTGCATTCGAAAATGCTTTTGGTTCAAGATTATTATCAGAATGATTTACAGCTAAATATTTACACTTTAATATAAAAAAAAAATAATAATGAAAAAAAATATATATATTAGTATCAGACAAAGCTTCTTCAATGATAAAAAAAGTTCATAACCAATTTCTTCTCTAGAAGAAGTAGACTTTGTCAGCAAAAAGCTCCTTTAAATTTCTTTTTTACGGTCAATAAAACATTATTCTCACAAATAGTTTAGGTGGCTGTTCCAGAGTGTACCTTTGTGCTAATGCTAAGGTAACCCACAAAAGCAGCTAATCTGCTTTTACGTCAGTAGAACAAACCACCTTTATCAAATGACCAGCTTGTGTTTTAGAGTGTGCCTTTGTGCTAATGCTGAGACAACCACATAAAAAAGTAACTTGAAAGGACCAACTTTTCTGAAAGATAAAACTACCTTCTTATATGCGCAAATAGTTGTTTGGTTTTTTGACATTTCGAAATACAGTGAACCAAAAAATTATGTTTTACTAAATATAGGTGTCACTCAAAGTTCAAATCTACTCATGATTTCCCGTGTTAATTGACCAATTAAATTATCAATCTAATACAAGACCCTTGCATCACTAACTTAAAAATTTTGCAGTTAAATTATGATTAGGGTTTGCTATTAAGTTAGGTAAGAGCCTTACAACATAATACCAAAATTTTATAAGAAAAACTTTTTGTTAATGCGCAGAAAGCAGTTTAATAGGTAAAATGTTGAGTTATGAATGATTTTTTGGTTTGTTTTGATTTTTTGCTTTATACCGATCTTGAAATCTGTTTGGTTGGTGAAATAGTAGCAAAATTTTTTATAGTGGGTAGAGCCAATGATTTACATACTATGATCACAGAAAACAGCAGAATTTTCCTTAAAAACAACTAATCACAGAAAGCACTTTTATGTAGTCAATACAAAATATCATAGAATTTTCATACCTGATACAACACATTAAATACATACGTACCAGTATCACTTTTCACATATGTAGACTTGTCAATCTTATCACTATGAGTTGAATGTCTTCTGATTTTAATTCACTTTTTTTATGTAGGTCCAATGAAAATGATGACTTATGTACAAAATTTTCAACAATAGTCTATATGACTAAATTTGCTATGTATAACAGTTAAGAACAATCGCTATGTAACCAAATTGTTCACATTAGAGATGGCAATGGTCAGTCATTTTCGGCTTAGCCGACTGGCTAGCCATGGCTATCTTGCGATCCAGTAGTCCAAATTGGATGATTTTAGTACCATTCGAATCATTTCAATGAAAGAATTCGAATGGTACTAAAATCATCCAATTTGGACTACTAGATCGCGAGATATAACCAATGACTAGTCTCACATTTCAAAACTTTAATTTTAGTATCATTATACATAAAAGTTCTGAGACACGCATACGTATATATTTTCTCCTTCAATAAAGTACCAATTAACATCCTTATTGCTGCCAGATTTAGTTCAATAGGCATTAATTACATAGAGTCAAAATTATTCTAATTGATATTGCAGCTGTTAAAATTCAAAAAAGACTTCTGCTACAAATATATAAAAGACATTATCAGATTATATAGATTTTGTTTAACTTTCTTATGTAGTATATTTCAACGAATCTACAATTTAAATAACAAAAATAAAATAAAATAAAAATGCCTAAACAAACTAAACGCACAAGATATTGTCAAAAAATCGCTAACATGGATTGGAAGAATAAATCGTTGTTGCAACACATTGAATTGACTAATGTTGCTTCATTTAAAAATGATGAATCTACAGCAGTTGAATCCATCAATAAAAATCAACCTACAGTGTTGAAACCTGTTTGTTTATCTAACAAGACCTTTCATAGTAGTGCTAGTGATGATAATGCTATATCATCACTAAATGCTTAATTAGGAACAGAAACTGTTGATTTACATCTTAATACAACAAGACAATATCTTCATCTTGTTAAAAATCAACAGTTCACTAAAATGTATGCAAGTCAACTCTTGTCGGAAAGTCTTGGTAAAGGTCCGTAGTATGCAAGACTTATTTGTAACTGGGCAAACCAATAGAAAGCCAATAGAAAGTTAATAATGTTAAAGCATAGCAAGCATGCAAAAATAAAATCTCTTACACATAACAAACAATTCTGATTAAGCATTGAACAGTATTTGAAAGAAAATAAGTTCAGCTTAACTATTCCAAATTTTATAAATTATATAAAAAACATTACTATTCCTGCTTTCAGAATTATGGAAAGAACAACTATTAGTAGATCGACTGCATGTAGATGGCTAAACTTACTTGGATGGAAATATAAAGGCTATTCAAAAACTATTTATTTTGATGGTCATGAATGTGAAGACGTGATCAAATATAGAAACTACTTTCTGCAAAAGATAGATGAATTACGATCCTGAATGGTTACTTATGAAAGTGAAAATTTAGAACATGCTATTTTGCCAAAACTTCCTCATAGTGTTCGTAAAATAGTTCCTGTCACTTATGATGAGACACCATTTTACGCCAATGATGGTATGTACAAGGTTTGGGGTTCAAAGAATGAAAGCATGCTTCGTAACAAGTCACAAGGACTTAGTATGCATGTCAGCGATTTCATCTGTCAGTCAATTGGATGTCTCAAACTTTCAGAATATGATCGTCATATAAACGATCTACTTCCTGATGATTCCATCTTAAACTTAAACATACCAAAACCTGTGTTATTATCTATTCAGGTTCAAATCGGGATGGTTGATGGACATGTAATGACCTTATTAATCAAATAACTGAACATGCTATACCAATATTTAAACGAATACACTCTAATAAAATAGCACTATTTATGTTTAATAATAGTAGCAATCATAGAGTATTTGCTTTGATGCTCTATTAGTCTCATGAATGAACATGAGTGGTGATACTAAAATGCCACTTCTTCGTAATGGTACCAAGCCAGATGGTTCTATACATGTGATGACATATATAGATGACAAAAATGTGGTAAGACCTAAAGGTATTTGACGAGTACTCGAGAAACATAATTTATAGATACAAGGTCTTATAAAATGGTGTAATGTATGCAAAAAAAAATTAGCTGATCTGAAAAATTCAAAATGTTGTGCCACGTGCATTCTTGCTGCTCAACCTGATTTTGCATCACAGCAATCACATATATGAGAGGTAATTGAAGCAGCCAGTCACATGTGCATCTTTTACTCTAAGTTCTATTGTGAACTTAATTATATTGAATCTTTTTGGGCTGAAGCAAAATGCATTGCAAGACTTAATTGTGATTACACCTTTAGGGGCCTCAAAAGAGCTGTTCCAAGAGCACTAAACTCTGTTAATATAATAAAGATTTGTCACTTTGCTCATCGTTCTGAATGCTTCATAAGTGCCTATAAACTTGGAAAGGCTGCTGCCTTTGCGGTAAAGAAATATCATTCTCATCGTCGAATTCCAGAAAAAGTTCTTAAAGAATTTGCACATGACTAGGTTAATTATCTATATATGTAATAATATAACAATCAAATTTGTTAAATGTAATGCATACTTACAATAAACATGTAATAATGCAAAGATGTGTCATTAATTCTTGATCAAAAAATGGTTTGATTAAATAATCATCTGCTCTTTTATCCAGACCTAAAGTAACAAAAAAAAAAAAATTCAAAAACTAATAAAAAAAATAAAATGAAATTAAAAATAAATTCATCTTCGATTTTACATGGAAGCATCTTCAGCTTTTGCGGATAATAATATTATAATAACATCCATTCATATTTGACATAATAATAATGATAATACAATTCAATACATAATATCATTATAATAAAATGTCATCTGGCAATCCAGTTGCTACGTAGCGATCAGATAGTTAATATATCGATATATAGATAATTAATTCATACAATTCTTAAATGTGTAAGAAATCTTACAAATTTAAAAGACTTCCTTTAATAAAGATAAACTAATCAAGATTTGTACACCTTAACTTACTTCTAAATAAAGTTGTTGATTATAATATAATTCCTAATCTTCAGCAGTTGGATTTTCAACATTATCAAAGTTGATTTGATTTTTCATATTCTATTAGAAATGAACATTTAAATGTCATTTCTTGATTTACTACAGAAGTTACAGTAATATCTTAACTATGGCATGTAATAAGTTCTTTGACAAGAGCAAACCCTATTCCAGTGCCTTCATGATTATGCAAACTTTGAAATTATACATGATAAACATGTCGAATATATTTGGAAAAGCGATTTCTTGAATTACAAAAAGGATATAATAGATAATAATATATGTACGTAGTACGTATGTAGAAGAATCAAGTCTATTATACCCTTTAATTTAGTACTTAAGTGTGACCAATCATTAGATATAACAAATAAGCATTTACTACATAAACTATATAGTAAATACTTATTTGTCATACCCTGTGATTGGCTACACTCTAAAAAGGATCACTTACAATAGACTTGATCTATAGTGGAAATGTGTTCATATAAATTACAGCTATAGCCAATAAACTTTAGTTCCAAAAAAATCTTTCCTTTAATAATGAAAATATTAACCAAGAATTACATTTTAAAACAAATAAGTCACATCAAGTCATTTTAATTTTAATAAGCATTATAGATTTTATTAACATCAGCTAAATCAATTTTTTCAAAAGCTTCAGCTAATTAATCAGGAAAATTACATTCAGTTTTTAAGTTTGATACTATTGATTGAAATGAAACATGCATTTGAATTTTTGATTTGAACCCAAATTAAGTGGAAAATTCTGATTTCCAAACCCAAATTAAGTAGAAATCCTGATTTTCAAACCCAGGCTATGTAGTAATGTCATAATTCAAAAAAAAGAATTGGGCTGCAACCCTAATTGGTGCCTATAATGTCTTCCAACTCATTTGATATTTTAAACAAAAATTCTTCAAAACCCTTAATTTAATTTACAAATTTATTAAAAAAATGATAAAATCAAAACTGTAGATTTAAAAAAAAAAAAAATACTTGCCTTTTTATCTTTTTCTGAAATGATTTAATTCTTCTCTAAAATGATTTGATTTTTTTCTTTAAATTTTCTCATGATCTAATTTACAAATTATAATTTATTGGAAATTATAAAAAAGTAAAACTATTAAATCAGCAGATTTTCCAAATTGAGCCTTTTTACAAGTCCCTACCCAATATGTAAAATAATAGTAAATTCAGCAGCAATAACCCTTAAATAACTATTACAAAAACAATCAAATGATCGGTCCATCCTTCAAAACACTCTAAAACATTAAAATATAATATAAAAATTGATGTCTAAATGATTACCCACTCCTTAACAGATTACTTATTTATATTGTTAGCTTATTACGTGGCTAAATTTTAATCCAACACTAATGCATAATGTAGTTATTACAGTATAATTATTATTAATGATCTAATGATTGTTCTGCCTCAACCAATTGGTTTAATACCTTGAAATATTAGAAATCTGCCAATTTGTTTATAGAAGAAAAAAAACTTACCTTTTCATCTTTCTCTAAAATGATTTAATTCTTTAAAATTATCTGATCTTTCTCTTCAATTTTTTTTTTTTAATTGGTTTACATATTGACGAAGTTCTATCATTATACAGTATGTATAGCAACAATAACCTTAATGAATATACAAAGTATAAATCTGTAGGTATTTAATGTGAATGCTGTCAAAGTAATATCTTGAACTTTTTTTTCAAAACGGTGAGAAGTCTAAAAATACAATTAGATTAGCATATTTACTCAGACTAAACAATAAACATGGTTTAAAAAAAATTTAATACAGTCATATACTAATTTTCCTTCTTTTGTTCTAAAATTGTTGGGGCTGAAACATTCAAAGAAGTTGGTGTGGTGGAAGATGAACTTCCTTCTTTTGGTCCAAGATTATCTCCAGAGAGATTCAAAGAGGTCGGTGTGGTTTTTTTGTGAAGTGCATTTGCTAATGCATTTTCTGGTCCATTATTCTTAGACGGATCCAAAGAACTTAAAAATCTACACTTTAATAATATAAAAAACAAAATAAGTAATGAAAAAAATACATGTATTTAGTAGCAAATAATATACAGTATCAGACAAAGCTTCTTCAATGATAAAGAAAGTTTGCAACCAATTCCTTCTCTAGAATCAGTAGACTTTATCGGCAAGAAGCTTCTTTAAATTACTTTTTTACAGTCAATAAAACATTATTCTCACAAATAGTTTAGGTGGCTGATCCAGAGTATACCTTTGTGCTAATATGAAATAACCCACAAAAGCAGCTAATCTGCTTTTGCATCAATAGAACAAACCAACCTCGCCAAATGATCGAATTATGTTCCATAGTGTGTCTCTGCACTAATGCTAAGGCAACCATGTAATAAAGTAACTTAAAAGGTCTGGTTTTTCTGAAAAATATAACTACCTTTTGACAGGCATGAACAGTTGAGATTTTTGTCATTTCAAAATACAATAGTAAAACAAAAAATCATGTTTATCTCAAATAAGTATAGAGATCATTTAAAAAATTGATCAGAAATGTGATTTTTAGCCAATTATATCAAAGAATCAGGTGTAATGTAAAAATCTTTTTTTTTAAAAAAAACCTGTGTCCTCATTCTTGATTATCGATAATAATCGATCTCACAGTAATTGTTAGCTGCCTTTGAGCAAGATTTGTAAAAAAGTGATATTTTTAACTAGTATTCATTCAATGAG